TCTTCGGGTGTGCCAGAATAGGGTTTATCTTGCTGACATTAATCAAGATTTTATCATTTCTTACCTTACTTTGGATATTGTATACTTCGCCAAGGAGCGTATCGAGAACTACGATTGGGTCAGCGGGAGAGAAGTGAGTTGCTTTATCATCGGTGCACATGACAATGTTAGCTAACAGTTAACTGAGCCCCCTGCTTTTAATACTGTATGTAAATGACGAAGAGCAGCAGGCCCAGGACTGACCCTAGGGATCGCCAAGTTGAAGTTGAAAAAGTCGGAAAGGGCATCGTTGCCTGGAGCTTGGGGCACTGTTTGTCTATCCGATCGATAACAGGTAAAAAGGCCGAGTGCAGGCAGGAGGATTTTTTGTTCCCAAAAGACGTCAGCACTTGGTTGATTGCCCAAAAACAAAGAAACAAGGAATTCCTTTGAATTTTTTTTTTAGAGTCAAAGGAAAGAACAAAACATCCCGGAGAGAATTCCATACGGATACTGTTCTATGAAAGATAGCGTGCCCAACGCATTTACCTCATGCATCCATGTATATTTTCGATGGCCCAGGTCGAGGAAGAATCGATTTGCACGGACCGATGCCCGTGCCCTGCGTCAGGTTTTCAGGAGAAGGAACCAGGGTTTATTGATGGGAAGAGAAAAGAGAACACGATAGAAGTAAAAGACAGAATCGCGACGGAGTTGTTGAGGAAGGATTACGAAATCGCCTAGATTACTGTTACCAAATACATGCATTTGGCATGCATGTACATATATCTAGGAATCTGTATATCTAGGAAGCGTGTCAGAGAGGAGAGAGACATGGATGGATAAAGCAACTTCACAGAGTGAAGAGGCATGTTCTACGATGGGACTACCGTACTGTGGGTTTACTGTATATAGCTGCAGAAAAAGTCCTTCCAAGGGCACGAGCAGCAGACTTGGCAATTTTTTGAGTATGATCATCCAAAGTGAGCTAATTATTAAGAATGACTCCAAGATGCAGATCAAAAGTGATCCGTTCGGCTTGGTTATGAGGGTCTTCAACGAAATGAAAAGCTTTATCGACTGTCATGTTAATGACATCATTCATAATGACATAATAACATCGCTGTTAATGTCATCAATGAAGACTGGTACGTTTAGACCTTGTGACCGAAATGCATGTTGGATTTGGGAGTTGTCTCATGTTGGGAAGAATCTTGTGGATGGTGGTGAGGTTATTTTGCGCTACGAGAACATACCGTGTAAAGTGAAGTGGTCACTGACAGGATGAGATGATATTACGATGTTTAGATGATATTTAGCAGTTGACCGATTAGCAATTTACGGAGATATGGTCAACGGTGGTAGATTGTCATTTCTGTGGCTTTCGTGGGAATGTGAATGAACTCTTTCAAATCTAAGGTAGCACACATATCAAATAAATGTTTGAGCCCTTGGGAATGCTTGTCTAGCACTAGCAGCTAAGTGCATTTAACAGTTCTCTCCAAGCAGATTGACTTTTCCAGCACAGAATGATTCGGAAAGGGTAAGCAGGGCCGAGAAGGATCGGGCAGAAGCATTTGGAAGGCAGAACGGTGAAATAAGGGAGATTTTCTTGTTGGCATTACGCTGATTTGATAGCAGATATTCAATCTGAAAGGTGCAAAAGAAGAAAATTAGGCCGAGAGAGCATTGGCGTTCGCATGAGGATATCGAAAAAGCCTACACTTTGCCTCCTTGAAATGGGACTCGCCTTGCTGTCCGACACTCCCAGCGCATAGAACTTTCCTCGAAGAAAACGGTGGAGGAAATATGCGGATTCGCTGGAAGGGAAGGATTCCTGAGAATCCTGACGCGTCCTGAGTCCTCCACCTACATTTCCTGCCCTCAAATCTTTCTGCTTCATACCTATCTCGGTAGATTAAAATTCGTCAATGTCTCCCGAATTCTCCAGCAGGAAAAGGAGCTTCATCTCTTCGTGGGGAATTCGTTCTTCCAACACTCCCGAAAATTTTTAACCGGACCGGAAGGCTCGTGGGTTCGTGCTCTGCCGCCATTTGCCTCTTCTGTTCCATCCGCGATGTCCTTTCCTTTTTTTCCCCGATGTTTCGTGAGTTCGATATTAAGAGGTGTATTCAAAAAGGTCACTGTGACGCAGCACCTTCATCTATCTAGGAGCGGGATTGCAATGATGAGTGTTCTCATAGCTGTTTCTTATTCACCTGTATATTTTTAAATCTAATATCTTTGTATCATATATATAACTTATTACTTTTATTTTTACAGACTGAAGAGATGAAGCTGTGCCTCAGTGATCACTACTTTTTGAACACACCTCGTAAATTCCATGTGAACCTCAGGAACCACCTGTCACCTGATCATCTGTTTACGTTTGTCTCGACAATCCTCCGGAGAGGATCCGCCAACGCCCCCAGCATGTCTCTTCCTCCCAAAAGGGTCCCTTGTTCCCCATATACGGAAGAAGCGGTTTGGCTCTGCCCTTCGATCTGCTGCGACTCGAATTATGCTTTCCGCATTCCGTCTGCCCTCGTTTAGGATTTCCGGAGAATCCATCTACTTTTGATATACTGACGATGCACATATGCATAGGAACACGCATTCAGCAGGTTGTAAACAACCCATATAAGAATCCCGGAACTTGTTTCGTTCAATCTTTATCGTTTTGGATATTACCCAACCCCTCTTTTCGTCGTTTCGTGGTTAGGAGCGTGAGAAAAAGTTATGTTTTCTTCGAAAATAGAATCATTTGGAGATATTAAAATTCGTCTCAAAATAATACATTGATTGCATATTGATCCAATCAATACAGGGTGTCCGAAAAAGGAGTCCCTAATTTCATATTGTTATAACTCGGAAAATACAGGAAATACAGGCTACCTCAGCCATCTTTGATTCAAAATATACGTTTTTACTACATCTAGGAAGTATCATGCTCCAACTGGTGTCCTTGATTCTGAAGAACAGCCCTGCACCTTAATTTCTACTCTGCCAGAGTTTTACGGAGCACAGAGATATCCAATTTCTCCCATTCCTCTCTGCTAACTTTCCGAAGTCCACCCCAAAGTTTTGCGCCGATTAAAAATAGCACGCTTCAGCAACACAAACGCACAGAAAACCAAATCCTGCTTGGATAAGAAAAACACTGTTTTCGGCAGCATATAGGCAGGTTCTTTCCACAAACAGAAATATACAACCAAATTTTCATTGAGCGTCATGATGTACTTTTACCTTTCACCATCCATGTGGCGCTTGCATAATTTTTAGGTATTAGTATTCTTTTCCATGATGTGTTTTGAGTTGAAAACATGGACTTCGATCTTGTGTTTTCATTACATTTTGAGATCCTCATGAATGACCCAGCTGATAATTCCACGGGACACCGGCAGTCGACTTGTAATAAACTTCTTGCTGAATGGGATTTTCCATTTTCGCGAAATGAGTAACTTCAGACAGAAGTTCCTTGCTATGGACCGGTCTTGCGTTAGGCTTTACGTCTGATGTTCACGCCTTTCTTCGTTTCTCGCCTCTTTCTGTTGCAAATGATATTTGAGACTGTTCCTTTGGAAACGGGCCATCCTTTCAAGAACCACCTACGATTTTATAATTTTGTTTGAGTAACCTTTTATGGAAAGGTTACACACGTCTCCACGACACAGGCAACAGGCATCATTAAACGCCACTCAATGCCACCATGGCCCCTTATTTCTCACAACAAAAGTTGGCTTCTTGCCCAACAATCACGCGTCACACGAAAGTCATTTATCCTCTCCCCATATGAGTAAATGCATTTTGAAAATGGTCATATAAACCTGGGGCAGCTTTCTGCAGACAAAATGGGTTTTTTGGTTAATGAAAGCTACGAACTTATGTTAAAATTCTCCACCAGGTGGCTTTGTGGCGCATGACGACCGTTGTGTATACGCAAACAGATAACCCTGGAACCTTGAAGAACCGTTGGATGAGGCGTGGGGATCCCATCCCTTGGACCCCCAAGATTTCCGTTTTTTCCTGGATTTTCGTCAAGATCCTTGTGTACATATCTGAGGTCGACAACGTACAAACTCTGAACGATAGAATTCGAGCAGCCCCCGACACTGAGTCGCCTGAGATGCTGAGTAGGACATGGGTCGAAAACCGATTGGATATCTGCAGATTCTCCAATGGGGCACACGTGGAAAAGTACTACATAAATATTTAAAAAACTTGAGAAAAGTAGCTTTCATTTACCACAAACCTCATAATTCAATTTTCTGTATTTTCTGAGTTACAATATGAAACCAGGGAACCTTTTGCGGACACCCTGTACTTCTTTGTCGAGATTAATCCTGGATTCAGACATTCCCTATATAAGGGAGAGACAACCAGCAAAAGCTACGGCGACTTGCTATTCTTATCTCCTAGCCTATACATTCTTTGCTATTATAATTTACAAGAAAAACTGTTACAGTTGAAAGAAAATACATACCAGCTTCCGAACTATTTTATTTTGTAGGCTTCACAGCTTAAGTTTGTTTTGCGGGTTTCTTTTGGCTGCTATTTCCGTTGGGAAGGACATGAAAAAATCTTCCATCTAGGAATTTTCAAGTGAGTTTTTCCATTTTTTATGCTATCAGTCCAAAGGGAGGCTATGGATGGCTGTCTTTCTCTTCCATTTAAACGTCCTTTCATGTATCGCTGTAATTTCAAACTTCTTGGATCTTCAGCATCCATGAGCCTTGACTGGAATGAATTGTTATCATGTGGCCTGCCCATTGCTGTATATCATGAAACATGAGATCCTAAATAGGTCCATAGTCAAGGTATGGTGGTTTTTTCCCCAGTATAAGTATGTTGCAAGCTTGCATATCAGCGGCGAAATGAATTTAAAGGCTCATGATCCATGTTGGAAAAAGGATACCATTTCATTGCAGTAAGCCATTAAAATCAAGATTTTCTCAAACTCAGCATCAATAGGATTCACTATGGATTCTTCAAAAAGAAAAATAATATTCTTGTTGGTATTACAGGAAGAGAGAGAAGAATGAGATCATGTGTTTTATTATGAACGATTTTGAAGTGGCACTGAGGAAAAAAACAAGCTTTATGATGGAACTTCTTCCTTCATGAAAGACATAAGGCATAGAAAACTTAAACAAAAATGAATTCTCTGCTCTTTGCCAAGGCAAACATGAAGGATGCCGGGGGGGGGGGGGCCAGTTTATTACATGGCAATCTGAGATTCAAGACGCCGAAACTTCTTGATGCGCTTCCATTCCCCAGTATTATAGTTCATCTGGAAGTGGGTTTCAACTATCATAGGGATCACAACACCATCACCCTGCTGTACTGTCTCTTGATCTTCACTCAACTTTATCGTCACAATGTTACCTAAGTGTGGACAAGGATTATCTGCAACGAAAAAGCAAACACAAGTGTAAGCATAATGACTCAATAACTTGTTATGAAATGGTTTTTGTTGCATTGATGGGAAGTCTCACCTCTGGAACCAGCCATAAATCCAAGAATGAGGGCCTTTTCTGGTCGAGTGACCCTGTTGGCAGTTCGAAACATTTCTTGCGCTTCCAGCATTTGTTCTCTCTGAAAAATGCCATGACAAAAATAAGTTGTTTACTAGAATCAGATCTTGAGGTACAAATGGCTTTTGTGCTGATTCTTTCTAGGCATGCTAAATGCAATACAGGGTGGGGCATAAAAATAGGCAAACAACTTTCACTTCAATGTCATGACCTCACTCTACTGAGGGTGGTGTAAATTGGTGGCTTATTTGGTTTCGTCAGACTTTGCAAGGCATCTTCAGACTGAGAAAGAAAGTGCTAAATAAAATTTGGAGGTACATGCTTATGATGATGGGACTCCACTGAGTCTGGAAAATAAGAGGGAAAAAAAAACATGGAAAAATACACCAAGATAATAGAAATAATATTAGTGATAAGCAAGAAACAATTTCTTGTCATTTTTTTAATTTATGTTTTTAATCCTGTCTATCTTCAGGCCCCCCTGTATGCACAGAATGAACTCCAGATTGAGCAAAATTCTACATAAGGCTCCAAATTTTAATCCCAGGAAATTCCATTCTTTCCTCTTCTCATAACTTACATCTACTTAAGATATAATTTAGTATTACATCAATGTAGCAACAATGGTTCAAATTGATGCACACATTTTTTTCAAAACTACCATTGTAACAGCCTTAATTCTTACACACTGACACCAGGGAGCATTTATTGAAATTATCAAACATTGGATCTCCACTGATATTGATACAAAATTGTTACATCCCAAATTATAATGGAATCTTGATGGAGTATTGACTTTATCTTCCAACAGATTTCCTGAAATTCTAAAGCTGAAAACACTATATGAATTGAAAGTAACTATAATTTAAGCAATAAAATGCCTGGTACACATAATAAGTATATAAAACTTATGCTAGCAAGCATTTTAAGCTCTGACTTACAGTCAGAGACAAGCCCTTCTTAGGTGTTTGGAGTTGTTGAGGCTGTTGCTGAAGGGGCTGTGGCTGTGCTGGCTGCTGATAGGGCTGCTGAGGAGTTGTGGACAGTCTCACTACATGAACTGCTTGCACAGGTGGTGACTGCTGCACATAAGTTGGCTGCACTGGTCTCATTACTGCATATACTGGTTGCTGGTTTTGCTGCTGCTCTTGTGACTGTGGCTGACTTGGGGATTGTGACTGCTCTTGGGTTTGTGGCTGCTGATGCTGGGGTGTTGTCCCCAATACCATCTGAAGAGAAGAATATAGTTCATTATATTCATTATTATCAACATGATAGCAATTTTTTCATCAGCCTATGACAGCACTTTGTGATTAGGTACTGAAAGGTATTGGAACAGACACAGAAAGGTGCGGAGTCTTGAAAGATTTTGAATTTAGCTTGAATATGCACAGGTAGAATAAATTCCTAGAGGCAGACCATCGTATGAGAGATCACCAAGTCCCACAACCAAAGCCTGACAGTGTTTCATCATAAATATTTAAGATGAATTTCATATGAAGAGACATGTAAAACTACCTGAGCATTGGGATGGGAAGAGCCAGTATTCCCACTGAGCAATGACTGAGGAGAGGCAAAGGTTGATCTTGCTTGCTCAGTCTGTTGAGGAATGCCAGGTACTTGTTGTTGCTGCTGCTGAGACTGTTCCACATGTAGATGTGAAACTGGCAGCTGTGGAGTGGTATTTGGTGTTGAGGAAGGACTCACATCAGGCAAGTAGGTACTGCTTGTTTCCACATGGCTAGGTGTCTTCAAGCCACCTGTAACAGGGGCTAAAAGGAGAAAATCAGAACAAGAGAGCATAATGACTGCTTGCTTGCTTCCATGTGTTGAGACACCTTAAAGAAGATAAAAATGTACTGAAGGCTAAATCAGAAGAAAGACTCAGAAAAAGGTGCGATACACCAGAAGAATATTTAAAAAAATGAACACATCTACCTGGAGTTGAGGGAGTTGAAGGGTGGGTGGAAACATGGGTTGACAGAGGAGTTGCTGGTGATAAAAAGCCTGAAGGAGGTGGCTGTGCAGGTGTTGGTGGGTTTGAAGGCGTGAGTCCACTGGCATAGTCTGGAGTTGTAGGAACAGGCAGACTTTCAGTAGATGGAGGCTTCTTCTCTTCTGATTCTGTTGAACAGAGGTATATGCACATCATGTGGACAACAAATAATGAATTCCTTTAAGATGATTTTACAGCAATGGGCAATGAAAGCGAGGGAGACAGAGACACACTTCGCTTTTTAGCTTTAGTTTTTCACTGGATGCAGATGGCGTTAAAAAGCCAACCATGGTTCCCTCTTCCCTTCATTTTGTCTCTTTCAAAATCCAGGCAGTTTTAGATTCTCAAACATTTCTATTACTGAACATATTCAGATTGACATTTGCAAGATGTCAAATGTAATAATCTGGTCTTGGTCTTGTAACCATATAAAAAATGCATGTTAGTTATCAATACAAGCAACACATATTTCTGGTGCAGAACAGTTTGCAAATAATGCACAAAGTAACATCATAATTTTTCCCTAAAAAAATCATCCATGTATTTTTACCTTTGGTAACTCCAGATCAAATTCATCATATATTGCAAAAAATTTGCGAACATGAACCTATCATTGAGAATCACCATGAAGGTGAAAGGAAAAGGTTTAACTGGAATGGAGTCAAAGAGGTCAGACTTATATATGTAAAATATTCCTGGCTTTGTTGGTGCTCCTTTTCAGAACATAAAAGGCCACTTGTAACCTCATCTTAATGTGTTCTCACTTCTACAATCAGACAAATTACAAAGAAAAAATGGCATCTACTTCCTCTCCGAATCCATTATCATTCTGCACTCCATCTCCATTCATTGCTTTCTTATGGATGGTTATTAAAATAAAAACATTAATATAGACATCAATAATTTCAGATATCAATATCGATTCTAATCATTTGATGAGGCAATAAAACTGAGCACTTCCTTTATATATTAGGCTCACTACTGGACGGATGGGTCAAAGAGATTCCCAGTGCATTTCATGTACTTCAAATACATATCTTTTAGTCCAAATTTAGACACAGATGTTTTGATCCATGGAGAAGATTGGTGATGATTCTAGGCAGTGATTGCACTACAAGAAAGAAATGAAACACCCTCTTTAGAGTCATTACTGGTAGCAGTTGTTCTTGTGCTGCTTCCAAGACATTCAAATGAACTTAACAGCTTTCAAGGCTACCAAGTTGAAACTGGTTAAGTTGAGGCAGTTGGTCTTGACTTCCACATAACTTCAATCAATAATAATAATTGATGATGTTTGGTGATAGTGACAGCATAAATAGGGTGGTTTTCTTAGTAATGCAAAAGAGGTTTGCCCCTTTTTTTGTTGCAAATTTTGGTGTTCCTGTCATCAGTCCTATAAAGACAACTATGAGTTTACAAATCAGGAAATGCCATCAATCTGAGCTCTGACATAAAAGAAACATTTGAATTACTATGCCTCTGGGGAAGTTTCCTTCTCATAGTCTGGCAATAACATACTTTTCTTGACTTTACAATCTGCAAGTCAAGCATATACTGCATAAGCAGGCTTCATTTTCAAGCAAAAGCTTTGATTGTGACAGCTGCTTGGAGTGAGGTGCATTAGAGAAAGGCCTGGTGCTATTCCTAGGGGAAAAGGATTTTTGATTAGCTAAAATCATTTACAAAATAGGGGTTTCTCCCATTGATGGTTAAAATCTATAAGAAGCAAATGATTACACATTTCTATCAAGTTAGGACTTACCAAGAGGTCGCTTCCTCTTCTTTCCTCCAAGGCCATATCCTATAGGTTGTTCATTGATGTCAAGGAGCTTGATTCCACCTTCCTTGTGGCCAGCAAGAGGACGTGTGATACTCCTTGATGACAAGGAGCTCCCAAAAGCAGAGAGACTACTTGACCTGAAGCCACTTCTTCCTACACTTGGGATTCCCTTCAGAGGAGCTAGTGCAGAGGAAGCAAAACTATTGTCAGTATAAAATATCATCACAGGATTTTAAATATGATGATTAATATGCACAGGACTAAGTCAAACAGTTGCCTGATATAATAAAGACTCTCTTGCAGCAATTCCTTTCTTATATATTTCTATTAAGCTGTCACTTTTGACTGATTTCATTTGTCATCAAACTCACCTATTTGGATGGACTTTCAAATTCATATAGGATTTCATTTGTTGTGAGCATGGAGTAAGAGAGTTAGCAGGAAGCACTATAGGCCTATTGCTTTCAGAATGAGATTTGGGAAGAAATTAACACAATAGAGTATAGTAAGAAGTCAATCTTCAGGAGAATTTGTCTTACTTGTATCATTCATTTTCCTGGGCATTGCTCTGGATCTCACAGGAACAGTTGGCACAACATGCTTTTTCAAATTGTTAGCAACTTCAGTTGCTTTACTCAAGAGTTCTACTCTTAGGGCAGCAGCCTTTGGCTTCCTCTTCAGTTGAAAATGTCTGACTGGTTGAGGAGGAGCCCCAAACAAGGATATCACCACATTCTTGTTGAGGAACTTTGCTTCTTTTGGAATGAGATTTGTTCCACTGCTTTTTTCCCTAACTGAAAAAGAAAATTCATGTCATAAAAAAATGAAGAAGTCCTCCACATGCACAAAAGACAAAGAATTGGGATGAAAATGTAAAATAAATGCACCAAAAGCCACTAAACAACACAAAAATGTCTCTACAGAGACCTTCTAATCATGAAACTAATAATATAATATTTTGTACTCATAAATATAAATAAACTATGGAGACCTCCTGGCTCCAATGAGCTGTAGAAGAGAAATAAGATGAAACACTTCACAACACTTTTATGTAGGTAATACATTTCTCCAAATTACTTCTTCAGCCATATTCATGAATATTGTAAAGCCTGTCATATATGGCTGAATCAACCTTATCTGGCACTACAAGTAGAATATTCAACTTACCTATTTTTCTAATATCACTGAGGAGTTCATGGAAAATCCTGCTGTTCTCCTCAGATTCTTGGACATTTGAAGCAAGAGTCCCAGAGGTGGGGAAGGGAGCCATAATCTCGGCAATCATAGCCACCCATGGATCACTGTCAACCTGAGCAACTTCTAGGATTTCTTCAAGCTCAGTCTTCCACTAAAAAGACAAACGAAAAACTAAAATCAAGCCCATTTCTAGAGATTTACGATAAGCCTAATGTTGTGACTGAACGGGCATGATAGGCCAAAGCATAACCTAGATTACCTAGACCTAGGATGAGGCAGAGGTAGGCGTGGCCTAGCCCTCACAGCTCAGAAAGAACCTTATTGTGTGAAGCGTGTACCTAATAATTAAGTGACTACACTTTGTTTTTAACTTCACATTATAGCTTCCCGGTATACCTCGAAGGCTAGAGAAACGAGCTTGACGCTCACCTCATCCAAATTCTTCCTGGGGATGTGGAAGAATGACAGCAAAAGCTTCAGCTTGACTTGAGCTTGGAGATCGACGAAGCATTCTTTGATGTTTCTCAATACGTCCGCGTTTAACTGGGAGCATATCGAACCGCTGACCCAAGTATCATTGGAAGTTCCCAATTTATTGTGCAGCCAAAGGGAAGTATCACCCTCTCTGACAGCAGCCATATTTCCTAGGCATAAGTGCTGCCATCTAGCGAATACCACGAGAACCACGAACTGCGCGGGAAGAAATGCCCGCATCCCCGGACAAGGAAACATCCCGGTTTTGCATTCAAGGTTCATGATTCCGATAGGGACGTCAAGAGGCACTTCAGGCATTATGACATCCCGTGTCAAGGTCGGGCAATCATGCATGATAAGATACGCTTATTCTTCTAAAATATATTTTTGTGGAAGCACATCCACGTACTACCAGGGCCGCCAGAGGGGAGGCAATTGGGGCAATCTGCCCCGGGCCCCACATATCAAGGGGTCCCAAGGGGGGCCTCCAAAGGACCTCAAGGGGGCCCCCAAGGGGTCTCCAGTTTAGTTTTGCTCCGGGCCCCTGGAAACCTCTGGGCGGCCCTGCCTACTGCTTAGTCGCTTACAGCGACATACTGGACATACATTTTTTTGTCCATCAAGCCTCTTCTTAAAGCGATGTGAAAGTGTGAAATAAAGAATAAGCGAGATAAGTTAAACGTGAAAAGGTGCATATTCAATATTTATTTCCAGATACTCGGCTGCATTAATTTCATATCGATATATGCCCATAGTGATACATACAGATTGTTAACAAAGAAGTATGGTAGCATAGGTTTGAAGCGAAGCGTTTTATCTCTTCCTTGTTTTTGGTCCTATATTTCGTACCGAATTTCATGTTTTACTCTTTATTTTTGTTTCCTTTATCCTCCCTTTCTCTACTAATCTCTCCCTTGGCTCTAGATCAAGCTTCCAGCAAACGCTCAGAACCATGTTATTATCTTGACGTGCAATTGCTGACATAAATCGCTTTGTAGTTGACTAAAATTCAGTTTCGTAATCTGAACATGACTAAAGTAATAAATAAAAAATTAATTAAATTTTCCTAGGGTGCGACCGTTTTGACAAGCATGACATTGATTTCGCATAGTTGAGTGCGGTGAACACGGCGAGGCACACTGATCAGACAGAACTAGGACAAATTATCGGAATGATAGAAGCCGGGGCCTGTGTTGCCAAAATAGCGAGGACCACTCAGAGGGACCCACCGATTGTTCGCCGTTGCCTCGACCGTTGGCTTGGTTGGGTTATTTGTATGTAGCTGTATGATAAACTTTCGTTGCATTCCTTATCTTAGTTCATTTGATTCGTTCATTGGTACCATAAGTCTCCTGCTGAAGTTGCAATTTTGTAATGTTGCAATTTGAGCTGCTTTTTAGAAATGTTAATGTCACAAATTTACAAATTTTCGAAAGTGAGGTGAATTATGTCAGCAACTGTACAGTATGTACAGTACAGTTTTCAGTCTCAAGAAGTAGAAGACTTTGAAGTATAAATCTTCTCCTAGTATGATGTCAAGAGTTCTCTGAGCAATTCTACGAGTTTGTTTACATTTTACTCCAACCAGACGCGATGCGGGTTTGAACTCCGTTCGGCCAGTTACGAGACAGCTGGCGTCGTCGGTTTTCTTCTGTTCGTGGTTAGGAGCCCCAGCTTGGCTGTATAGGACTAGCCTGAACGAGCAGCAGTCAAAATTTTCTTCCCTGAAGAGAAATTCAGTGACCAGAGAAAAGCAGTTTGGAAGCAAGGACAAGGACCAAGGTCAAGGGACAAGGAAGACAGGGACTGGATTATCTATCCATTCGAAACCTTGACCAAGACGACATTCCTCTCGGCAGCTCTCGAGGAGAAAGCTTGCCCGTATGGCATCTGCACGTAAATGCTGCAGAGGATTGCTTGCAAAGGATCAATTCTGTCATATCTTGCTTTGTGAGGTTAAAAGCCTAGCAGCAGGTCACACTAATATGAGGAATTGGTGTGTGGTTGATTGGCGGGTAATTTCGAGATTCCCTGATCCACTCCGACTCCCTTGCGATTCCCTGATCCACTCCGATGCAGTTCCTATATTACTATTCCCAAGCCTTCACAGCCGGTGCAAGCTCCATAATAGAATTCCACTTCTTCAGGATTGCTTGAAACCATTCTAATTTTTTGTCTGATACGCAGTCTCCTACAAAGAAATATTGCTAATTTGTAGAAAAACAAATAATTCGAGTGAAAAAGGTCGAATGTTGATGAGGTAATCACTCACTTCAAGATGAAACAGGGAAGTTGGAAGTATCTCCATGTTTTTGGTGCTTTAATGCATAGAAAATGAAGTACCGAAGCTCACTGCATGTATATCATACGCGAATGGGGGGTCCGAGTGGCTTGCATCTCGGAATTTTTTCTGGTACAATATTTGACTAAAATCTCGATTTTCGGGCACATACGGCAGCATCGTCAGTTACTTGTGAAATATTTTGGAACCACGAAGAGTAAAATATCAAAACATCAATGAGAGCTGAGTTCCGGACAGCTTCTTAAGCACTCTTGAGAGCTCCAGTCTCCACGTCTTCGATCGATGAAAAGCATGTCTGTAGACCGTGGTGCGAGAAAAAAAAAAACCTCAGAAGGTTGGAAGAGGATTATTTCTGCACAAGACCGCGTGCACTCGGCAGCAAGAAACGTTTAGATTTCACTGTCGATCGGATATCATGAAGTCGTACGCAAGAACCAAGGGCATGAAAAGTGTAGCTATTTTTGAGTGGTCTCGCTTCGTAGGCAAATGAAGACATGAATGCGAGGTATGGACAGAATTAAGGCCTTTGACATAGATCGCCATGTAACGGCACGTTCTACTCGGCAATTATAATAAATTTTGCCGACACGTGGGAGAGAGATTTGCTATTTTCAGACAAACAGGAGCGATCCTGTTACGGCACCCCTCGCTCGGCCTTTTCCAAGAAAGAAAAATATTTAATAACTGGGACACTGACACTGGACTTCTTGCTGCTATTCAGCTGGATGCTCTGTGCAAGTGATAAGCAGAGTATGGCAAACAAAAGCTGACTTTTGAATTATGCAAATTCGTTCCGCTAAAGCGAAGGATATGACCAGTAATTGAAAAGAAATACGAGTAAGAAATTGAATACGGGCTGTATCCATTTCGGTTCCTAAAAATAAACTAATTTTGCCTGTCTTCTCCAACAATGTCGAGGGAACACCTGGAGAAACTATGGACATACTTAATGAATTTAATCTATTCATACCCTGCTTCATCAGGGTATTAATTTGAAAAAGTGTATTTAAAAAATTGCAACAAAATTAATAACAAAAGTTATTTCCTGAAGCCTGACAGCAACTAATATGAAGGCGTCTTAATACTCCAGCCGCTCGCAAAAAATCCCCCTCCGTCCATCAACGCTTGACACGAATCACGTCATTAAAGGACGTCACTCTCCGACAAACAACTGCCAGCGGAACATTGCCAACTGCGAAAGCCCTGAACAGGTCAGCCCGATAGAACGTCAATAGAGCAGACCAGGGCCGGATTAAGAAGTTGCGAGGCTCGGGGCAAGTGAATTCTTGGGGCTCCCCCCTGGAAGAGTGGGGCCTGGGACAACAGCCCCCTTTGCCCCCCCCCCCCCCCCACTTAATCCGTCTCTGGAACAGACAGAAGAATAGTGACATCTATGTAGGCTCTATGGCAGGGCTTCCCAACCTTTTCATGCGCGACCCCAAAATTCACAATCGTACCATTCGGGACCCCAAGCACTGGCCGAAGTTCGACAGGCTCCCTCACCTATGCGCTAAAATCGCAAAGAAAACACATAACATGGCATTTAGTTGCCGGTTCGCGACCCCAAACATGACCATGGGGACTACAAATGGGGTTGCGACCCCTGGGTTGGGAAGCCCTGCTCTATGGTCAGCCTTTATCTGTTGTCATGGGTCGCTGGAGGCCTCAGCAGAGCCGCCAATCGCCTAAGCTTTTCGACTTTATGGGCCGCCATTTTTCTTAACTATTCTGCATTCTTTGTACTCATCCCGATTTGGTGTTCCTCTAGTTCGGTATTATTCGGGTTCGCTTTTGATCCAGGAGTTGCTTCGTCAGCCCAATTCCGGTTTGGGGTTGTTCTCGTCGGCGATAATGTTCGCGCTTATTCTAGCGACTCCAAGAAAAAGACCAAAAATCCCAGACAAGGGTAACACATGGCAAGGAACTTATTTATTGTGATAACTCAGGCAAATGTGCACATAGGGAGACACAGCAAAAGGCATGTACTGTATAGAGATGAGATGGATAAAATGGAATTTTGTACTTTATTACCGAAGATGGTGATGATGCAAGCAAGCAGTTAAGAACTAAGGATGTACTTACCAGAACACATAAAAAATGGGCTACCTGCACCTGGCGCGAATTAAACAAATGCAGCTACATCATCGGTAAAAACCTAATGAGATCAATTCTGCTCTTCTTAGTTGTCGAAGGAAACCTGGAAAATATCCTCAACTGAAAGTACAGAATATAACTAGCTGAATAGAAATCGGCATCCACAATAACGTCACCTGGTTTCGTCAAGACTGAGAAAGAGAAGAAATGATCAAATACAAGTTCCTATCAATGACATCACTGCACTTGTCCATGAAAAATACTTCACAAGTCATCAGGTAATGCACAAAGATCACAAAACTTCTTAATTCCATTTAAACATATCACGTTTTAGAATTAGAGCTTGAGTTGCAGCGTGACCAAGTATGATTCAGAGGCATATGTCCTAGAGTAGGACTGAAATGACTAGGGTAAACAATTTCAGGTTTTGTAACAAATACTTGACATAATACATCGAATGCCAGAAATTCCAAGTCCCATGGGAGATACTCAACTCACTGAAGCATCTTGTCTTGCTGTATCCAACTGAAAGACTATTTTCAAAGCTCCCAAGCATGGAGACCAGCTCTCATGAGAAGGGCAGAGGTGAAGACAAACTCCAATTTAGTTCATGCCAGACCTGCATGAAGAGAACCTCTCCTTATCCTGTATCATATGTGACAAGGGCTTATTATTTACTAACAAACAAGCCTTAACATGCTACATCATAGACTCAACAGCGTCAGATATAAATTTCCCCCCCCCCAGTATTGGTATTTAGGCTTCTTACTGTCAATGTTTTTGTGTATTGATATTAAGTAGGGCTGTACCAGTGGCCACATTTAGCCGATGGGCCGATTACTTTCTCATACCTATCGGCCGGTGCCGGTGCATATCGTGACATGTAGAGAAACAGCAAAAAAAGCATTCGACAAAATTTTTAAAAGTCAAATAGACATATGAATGCACATTCAATGTTATTATTGTTTCCACGTTGGGTGTTTCGAATATACCCATGTATCGACCTGAAACATCAATATCAACATCAGTGCATCGATGCCGGCGGGGGGTGGGGGTATGGGTGTCGGCGGATTCAGTCTTTTCTCACTGCAATCGGGATCAGGTTTCAGCTTCATTTCCGTAATTTCTTCCCTCGATTGGGGTGTGGACCTATATCCGCCTCCCATAATCTGTCGCTTGTGATTCGAGGAGTTGAAGGGAGAGGAGTGACCTTCGCAACGGTGATAAAGCCTACTATCTCAACCTCAAGTATCAAAAATTACATCATTACGTCGATGGATGAACTGCGATAGCCCTAATTTTTCCCTATTGCCGTAGAGAATCGGTTACCGAGCCCTGTTCACATGGCATTTCTTTAAATTTTTCCTCGTTCAGCACGTTCTTCTTTGAACATCGGCACCGGCTGGTTCCAAACCTGCTGATGGCTGATGTGGCAGATAGTCCAACACCGGCGGCCAATACCGGTGTTAGCCAATACATCGGTACAGCCCTAATATTAAGGAAAACGATTCGGCATCAGACATTTACACCCTGTTCATGAAAGAAAAACATATGTATCCAAAGCCATTTGTAACTCTTTGCATGACACTGCTTTTTAAAATTACTTAGTATATTATCTACTTTCATCATTTTCAAGGGGGATAGGAGTGAATTCAGTAAAACATAATTGCATTAACTATTATTTACTCACATCAGTAAATATGGTTGTATTTGCTGATCATGGAATGTTAGAGCAGTTTTCATTTAATTAACTTGAACTGTTCCTCCTCACAACGCCAATCACAGAGAGGAACGAGACTCTGGGGCTATAGTAACAGTATATGGAAATCACATTAATTGTTGTCACTTCTCTCAAACACAGGCTCTATGGGAAGTTTCCTGTGGGTAACAAGGCTGTCCACAGCCAAGTAAATATGCATGATTGCCGTAGCAGAGTGAGAGAGTATGAAATAAATTGAAATGGAGGGGAGAGCAAGAGAGTACAACAGAAGGGCATGTAAAATACATATATAAAAGCAAACATGCCATCTGAACTACACTTAATAATGCTCAGTTATGAAATGTGAAACAGGAACTCCTAACAGCAACTAGAAGAATCAATTAAAGTTTCAAGGCAAAGGAAGGTTTCATTGATAATGTCAGTTTCACTTTCTTCTTCCCTCAAGCCACCTAGTTATTACATAGTTTTTGAGCACTTCACTGCAAAACCAACATCTCCAGATGCAATTTTGTCCACTTGTGTTCGATTAACAACAGCTAATCAGAATGCATAGCTTTCATTAATGTTGCTCATATGTTCCAATAAGTTTGAAAAATTGCCTTTGGAGGCATCGTCTCTCCGGCTCCACAGTTCAACACTCAATAGTACAAAGGCAAAGCTAACAAAAAAAAAGATATGTGCAAAATTCTACTATCACTCAACTTCATTACATTGTAATTTCATTGACATTGTACATCCAGAAAAGAATAATAGAAAAAGAAAGTGAATAAAGGCCTTTTACTTCTGGCCCACCAAATAAGGGATGACTCAAAAAAAACTTAGAACTATTTTATATAATTATATAATTCATATTCTTGGAATGAAAATTTTGAAATTGTTGAGCCTGCATGAATGTAAAATTAAAAGTCAATGCCTTCACTTTAGAAAAAAAAAAAAATCAGCTTAAGGAGTTAAGATTCCTTGCAATCATGGAGAGGAAAAGTTAGCAGTTTACTTAAAAGACATAAATATACTATTTTTTTAATAATATTGAACATAACTTTAAGATTCCATTATCATCTCTGTTGACAGGATGTGCTGATATATGAACTAGAAAGAAAAACTCCTTCTGGACTTTTCCACTATAGCGCTGCATTGGATGTTCAACAGACCTCAACTGTTGTGATAAAGAGTTCACTTCACAGGAAAGTGCAAAATTGGATGGGAGCAAATGAACTTTTAGACCTAAAAACTTCCCTAGTGAAATCTGCAATGGAAGAAACACTCACAGGGTTTTCAATGGGAAAACTTGTGTGACTTTCCCTATCCCCTTTGTACATCCTTCTCGGAAGAGCACACGAGATCCAATTTCAACATATTCAGGATGTTTGAGAAACATGAAGACAACAGATGATTTCTGATCGGTACTTAAGGATCGATCCATAATACCCTTGATGATGGCAGTCTGTCGTACATTTCCAACATGTATGGTTGCTTGAAATCCTTCGGAAATCCTTGTTCTATGATACAAGACCATGATTGTTGCCTGTGAAATATAGAGGAATGAGATAGTTAGTCTTCATGCAATCAAAACTGAATTTCCAATATGTACTTGAAATCTTCAGCAAAACACCTGGAAGTAAAGGCATGCAGCAGCTTTATCTAGAGGCTGAAGGAGCACCATTCCCTTCCTGACCACATGGCACATGCTCTCGCATCTACTCAAAGCAGGGGTCAAGGGGATCAGCCCCAAGGATGCACTCTGTGACGCCCTCACAACTCGACAAGCAGCACGATTCCGATGAATGGATTTCACACGGACTGGATGGAATTCTCCATCCTGTAGTGGCCCTGTGAAAAATTTAAATTTCAAATATGACTAGGGTTTTTGAGTATTCCAAAATTCCTAATAAAATTTCAGTGGTACATATGATACCTTTGTTTTTATAACTCTAGCCTGGATTATTAAAAAAAAAAAAAGCTTCCATGTTGCAGTTCACTTATTAAAATTTGATAATGGCATAAAAACCCAGAAGAATAGAAAGTTATCAGGTTATAGCATAAACAGAACTAACCTCATCAATGGCAAATTACAATAGGTGCACTGCTACTTTCCTTGATTCAAATTCACTCCAAGCTCACTCTTACTAAATATCATGGATTTTTTTATTGGTGGTAATTTTGATTGTTGATCAAGCATACCTGAATACCCATGAATGGGGGGTAATTCTGCAACTTTGTTGCTTTTCTCAATAATGAGAGTCACTTAAAAAATGTCTAATACAGGATAACAGATTCTATCGCCAGGGTGACTGTGGATGTATTGCAGCGAATGTGGACTGAAAATGAAAATGAAATATTGGTTGAATGTGCTGAGAGCCACTAACGGAGCAGATGTGGAAGTCTACTGACATGTCAATAAAAACTCTTTGAGTCAGGCTACAAAATGGTGTGAACTGCATTTTTGTATGCCTATTAGTTATTTTTTTTATTTGCATTCAAAATATGAAAGATAATTTAGGAACACCCTAATCATTAAGAGCAAAATTAAGGACTTCTCGGCAAAATGACCAACATAATGACTCAATAACTCACTCCATGAGATACTAAGTACAACTGTCTCATCAGATGTGGAACAGCAGATGATAAGTATCAGGAGAGGCCTAACCTGAATGCACAATGTCTTCCTCAAGTCATAGACTTCATACTTTTTCCTTAAAAAGCCTTCATAAGTTATATTTTTAAAGATGAAATACCATTTCTCTGCATAAAGGAATACAGGAACATAGATGCTTGTTAAAGTGCAATTCAGTGAAAATGCTACGAGAATTCATTTAAGTACTAGTATAACCTTCACATGAGGAGAATCAAGAACACTTCCTTACACAGAACAATTGATAAAAGTTCACAGGCTTAAATCTACTTCCTGAACAGTTCAGAGAATTGATAAGCTTCTCCAAATAAAAGCTCCTTATCTCATGTGCTCTGATTCAGAAACAACTTACCAAGTAGCAACTGAGTATTCTCAGTAAGAATGCCTTTGGTTAAAAGACCACCAACAACTGTCCCCACATCAGGGATATCCCATGTATCATCCACCTGGAACTGCACTGGTTCCTATAAAGAAACCCTCAGCTTATACAACATATGTCAATCTGTTGAAAAATGAACAATGTTAATGACCATCATCCATAAGACTCTGACCACTATCCCAGATCAGGATGCTTTACAATTTGTTCACCTACCACTAATGTTTCACTAATCCTAACATTTGTTAACTACAACCATGACTCATTGATAGCTGATGCACGTGCAGATTACTAAAAAGAGGACAAGGGAAACATAGCATAATGGGTATGCTACTAGACTCACCTGCTCTAACCTCTCCCTCTCCTTTGTGCTCAAACATGGGGATAAAACATAAAGGTATTTCATCACCAAATGGAGTCCTTTGCCCGATACATTGGAGACAAGGAAGATGGGAACAGTAGAGTGTATTCGCTGTGGATTTCCAGCTGTAATGGCATCATCTTCATTTCTAACCCTATATGGATTTCTTTTACATAAATGTCCTTTTATTAGAGCCTCCAGGCTCTGCAATGTTGACTCTATAACACTGGGTGGAGTAATGTCCATTTTGGTAACCACCACAAAAATGGGCACCTGAAGGGCTATGCTGAGAATCAGGTGCTCTCGTGTAGTTCCTGCTATTCCACTGTTTGCACTTACAACCAGGAGGCTGTAATGTGGTGAATAGCCAGTCAATCCAAATATTGTTGTATGGAGGTACTTCTGATGACCAGCCAAGTCAAGGAACGTTATCAGTTTCACTGATGACTCCACTATTTCCTCTGCACTAGAGCACTCCCTATAATTAATTACATCTCCCTGCAACAGAGAAGGGCATATAATTAGACACTCTGCATAGCCCCTACACATCTGGTTGTATACTAAGACCAAGAATTAAACAACAAAGGAGGGAATTTAACCTTAACCCAGCATATCTTGTCAATTTGCCAACAAAGCTTTCCTCATATAGTCACTGAGTTCATTTTTTACCAAAAATTCTTCTACCTTTCCATTTTAACAAATATTCAGGTACAGTGGGACCACCAGAAATTTTGGAAAATCAATAAGATACTCCAGCTCACATGAGATCCAAAATCCAGACAGGACACAACAAGTTCAAAGAATCTGCAACTCAGCTCTTGGAAGAAACTTCTGTTGCAAAAGTCTCACAATAAGCCCCTCCAGGTCATTCAATTCATGGACAAAATACATCAATTTCACCTCAGAATTGAATCCAAGGACTTCATGACTGATAGATGAAGTTCTGCCAGTCTGAATTTCATGAAGGTGCCTGAACATATTCAACCTTGCCCTCCCTCTTCCATTGTCGAGTTCCCCTTGTGTGATAACTCCAATTAGAGTGGACTTTCCAGCATCAACATTCCCAAGGACAGCAACTCTCAAGTCTATGCTGTTTCTGTCATCTGGAATCTGTTGATGAAAATTTTATTAAAAGCAACAGAAACAAGGGCAAAAAAAGAGACAGACACACAGGGTATTTCTGTATAAAGCCTGGATTTGCTTCTCAAATAACTTTTCTTGTATAGCACCACTTCAGTTCTTGAGGTCTCATTCAAAAGAGCAGGGTTTCTCATTTTATATGCACTTTGAACTTTATTGATTCATGCAACAGTATGAATACAGATATGGTAGATGGCATTAACACCACTTTTTTGTCTTTTTCAAGAAAAGTTGAAAAATTTTTAAGTTTGAATGCAAAAAAAACAGACAATATGAGTGCAAAGTTCAACATGTCCTTCATTATTTTGAATTGACTTGTGCAGCCTTTGGCTGAAGGAAGCAGGGGTGTTCTCAAGCATATTTGGCGTGATCTTTGTGAAGGCATTGAAAATGTGTTGTTTGAGTTAATTCAAATCACTGATGTTGGCAGTGTAAATATTTCTTTTCATGAAGCCTCATGAGAAGAAATCTGCTGCTGTCAAATTCACGATTGTGGAGGTCACAATTAGCCACAAACAAGCAACAAAACATGATAGAAATGGCAGTCAGGTGCACTGTGTTACAGTGGCTTAAAAGGAGACAAGTGGTGTGTGCGATAACAAAGGTTTCAGTGCTCACTGCATCAATCAATAAAGTTGAAAGTGCACATAAAGTGTGAAATCCTATTCTTTCTAATGAGATCTCAATGAGCAGTACAAAAAAAGTTATTCAAAAAACAAATCTGGGCCTTATACAGAAACACCCTGTATTACAGCAAAAAAGGTCTATTCTGGCTACAAATGAGAAATGTCTCCAGCAGGGTGCATTTTCCATGGAGTTTGAGACTGGAATATTTGTTTAAACATACCTTCCTTACAAGAACTTCAGCAGCTTTCTTCCAATTCCCATTTCCACAATCAATATGTCTCTCCCTCAAAATTGTGATTGATGCACCCAATTGTGCAGCCATGTCTCTTAGGGTATTCAAGCTGACCATCAGCTCCTCTTGAGTCAAGCCAGCTAGCAAACCACTGTCTTCAACACCAATTTCATATATGGCTTCTCCTTGGCCTTCCCGCAGACGCCACTTCATCTGTTCCAGAAAAAAAAAGGTATTGATTCATGAGACTACAGGAGCTCTATGGAATTGATTTAACTATAGGCAACCTCAAGTCCCTACCCAAAAACGTAGGATGCAACCACATTTAAGATTCAACTACCTGGCAATAATGTTTTTGCCCAATCTGTGTTCAAGAGAGCAAAATTAACAAGACTATGCTCACAACCATTAGAATATACTCCTAAGCACAATGAGCAAATGAACATATTTCAACCAAAGTTACTGACCAAACCACACCCATGATCCACTTCACCTCAATAATCAATTGATCAAGTGGGCCTACTTAAGCAGCCACTTTCAACATAATTATAGATTTTGAAACATTTTTACATGCTGATATGGGCTCACTCATTCAAATAATGGACTTTACCAAGCTAACAAAAATATGGCAAATACTGAAGAGTTCACAAATACTTTTCTGTTACCTTCTTAAAAAAAAAAAGAGCCATGTCATAGCATCATTGTGGTTCAGTAGTTAGGGTCATACATTAGCAAGTAGGTGATCCACTGCTGAATGTAACTGGTGGCAGTCTTTCCCATGGCCACCAATTCATCTAAATGATTTTGCTGCTCACCCTTCCAACTGAAGCATACACTGTTTCCAAATTGAATCCACACCCCCCTTTAGGAGTACTTCCATTGATTACATATAGTAGGATCTTCCAGATTAGTAGTTTTGTGGTTTATCTGATGAAATAAGTCCTCTGGAAACAGTTCTTTCACCATTCTCCACTACCAATGGAGGGTATGAATTCAATCTGAAAATGACCTGGATCAGGGTAAGTCCCCTTCCAGTCCACCTATGAATCCATTGTTGATGGATCCATGATTGAAAATAGGAAAGAGGTAGTAAATGGCACTGTAGAAAGGATTGTTAGCAAAACACATACCATAGAGTCCATCCACCCTATAATAACCTATAACCTATCTGCTCTGTACTCCTCCTGTTATGGATGTAATTGAAAAGAGGCCTACTACTAAACTAAGCTTGCTCAGCCAGTGTTATTACTAGGGAGCAATAACGTGAGGATTTGGAATGTATAGGATGTTTTGCAGATCAAGGGGTGAACCAGCCAAAAAGACTGATTTATATACAGGTTGGCAGCAAAACATTTTTACATTTCATTAACCTATATATTCATTAGATATAAGGTAGAAAAGTAAATTACATGTTGTCTGATAGACGAACTCAATAAGTTTTTTTAATATTGAGAAATATGTTCAAACTGTTCCCCATTCTTTGGGTAATCTGTGCAACATGCAGCAGTGTTTTCAATAACATTGCCCAGTGTCTGTGTGGTATGTCTATGAGCGCAGTAAGCACAGAACATTTGAGTCTATCAATGATGTATGGATTTGTGGAGACAATATACATCAAAACCCAATTTCCTGAATTAAAAGTATCATGCATTTCCACACTAATCTGAATATATTAAATACCATTGGAAAGCTTATGATGAGTACTAACTGAATAAAAAAATGGGTTTTGAAATTGTCACATAATGACCTAATTAGGAGGGGTCAAAGGCCATATGGTACAAAATTGGTGATGCCCACATAGGAAAATCCCCCATCAGATTTTTCTCTCCCTATTGATGCTATCTTTTTGAAACCTTCAGGATACATTACTATTGGAATGGTGTAAAAACCTATGCTGTCAACTTTGAGAAATGAAATGTAAATAGGAGGTTCAGTTCCAAAAATACTGCAAAAAACTTTTTTACCAGTGAAGTGAAGTCGGTAAAAGTATGAAACAGTTGCCATGGCAAAATAAGTTCATATTCATTAATTAACAACATAGGCTTGTACACCATTCCAACAGTAATAATGTATCCAGAAGGTTTAAAAAAATATAGCATCAATAGGGAGAGAAAAACCTGGTGGGGGATTCCCCTATGTGGGTGTAACCAAATTTGTACCATTTGACCTTTGACCACTCCAATTAGGTCATTATGTGATCATTTTTAAAACCCATTTTTAAATTCAGTTAGTACTCATCATAGGCTTTCCAATGGTATTTAATATATTCAGATTAGTGTGGAAATGATACTTTTAATTCAAGAAATTGGGTTGTCATTTTTATGTCTATTGTCCCCTTAAGGAAACCCTATAAAAACTAGCAGTCCAATATCAGGAGATCTTCCTGGCTGATCAAACAAATCAACACTATTCTTAATAGTTGGATTTAACACTCTTGCTGCCAAAGGTGACTTGAGTCGACTGGACTAGCATGTACATTGTAATAATTTGGCAATAAGAGTGTCAATGGGGGTGTTTTATCAGGAAAATAAAAAACAGAGCAGAAGGTGTAAATCGTGCATAAATTTATTGAAATGCATTCACCTGTTACTGTGAAATGAGAATTTAGACAATGGTTTCCTGATTAAACACCCCATCAAATCCAAAGATTAAGAATATCAGTGATATGTTTGAAGAGAAAGCATTTTGGGTATGAGAGGGGACATGATGTGGCCAGAAAAACCTCTTGATCTTAGACTCCTAAAGTTCTTATGGGGTTTCCTTAGAGAAAAGGTGTTCTCGACAAATTCACACATCATTGAAAGACTCAATTGTTCTGCAGTTACAGTGCTCAGAGGCATCCCACACAAGACAATGGACAATGTTATTGAAAACACTGCTGTATTTTGCAAACAATTACCCATAGAATGATAAACAGTTTGACCATGTTTCTTGACATTAAAAAAAACTTATTGAGTCCATCTATCAGATGACATGTAACTTAATTTTCTATCTTAATAAATAATGAATATATTGGTTAATGAAATTTGAAAAAATTTTTTGTTGCCACCCTGTATATAAAAACAAGAGTCCAGCAATGGATATGAATAACACATATAAGCCTAATAATATGCCTAATGCAGCTCCAATATTAGGGATCAAGTTGCACCATTAGATCAAAGTTTGAGAGCTATGACTGACCAATCAAAGCCATTTAAGGAATAGGCCTCTCAAAGGAAAGGTCAAATATCCAATTTTGCCCACCTGTGTGACAAGGTGCTCAAAGCGGTGATGTGTGGGGTTCACTAATTTCAGCTTGTATTCAACATTCCCCAGTTCTGGTTCAGGAGGGAGACAAGTGAAGTCCCTGCAACATTCCGGGCCTATAACTTCCATTTCATCCATGGGAAATGACTCATCTTGTATAGTGCATTCATCTGCAGATGAGTTGCTGCTCCTCAGGTTGTCCATGCTGCTATGATCCATCATTATGAGAAGAGGTCTAACACTGGCAACCGTGGAATCATTCCCAAGTGAATAGAGGATTCTACCTGTTGAAAATTATACAAGGCTACCAAGGCCTATCATAGGCCAAGGCCTGTATGGGCCTACAGATGGGATAAAGGGGTACACGAGTAACTACATTGGTTAATAGATCAAGGCTTAGACCAACTGCTTCAGAATGCAAGATACAAGCATAGACAACATCTTGGCATCTTAATCATTTTTAATTGATTAAGAACAATTAAGAATGCTCATGGTTGTTTGCCTAACGTCGAACACCTAAACCCCAAGAACAAATCAAACCCCATCAACTTAAATGAACTATATGATTCCTTCTGTGATAACTTTCTCATGGTAACCTCATGCCATATACCCTGCACTCTTCCAAAACCATGTCACTTCCCAAAGTGGATCTCCCATCCAGTAAGAAACCTTATCAAAGATAAGCACAAAGCCTTCAAAAAATACAAAAAAGCCTTACAAAATGGAGAGGCAGCTGCTTCTATCCTTTGGGCAAACTAAAAAAAAATCCTAAATTTAACCCAACGTGCAAAACGGTTGGCATACTGCTCCTATGTAAGCTCATTATCTGAAGACCCTACCTGTCAGAAGTTTTGGTCCTTCAAATCTAAATTCCATCAAAAAAGCCAGGTCACTTCAATCACCATAAATAATACCACAATCACAGATCCACTGATGATAGCTGTAGAATTTAATGAGCACTTCCAAAACATGTTCTCTCAAGCCATAACCAGTAACTACATTCCACCATTCTTTCTACCTGATGAATTTTCAATCCCAAACCAAAAAATCTGTGAAACTGAAGTACGAATAGCAATATCCCAACTTAAAAATAAAACATCTAGTGGTCCAGATGATATTTCAAACAAACTTATAAAATTTTCAGCCCCTGGCCTGTATGAACCTCTAACTCAACTATTTAACCTCTCCTTTATTTCTTCCCAGCTCCCAGACCTATGGAAGACAGCAAAGATTATACCCCTTCACGAAAAAGGCCCCAAATCAGATGTAAGGAATTATAGACCTATTTCCCTAATCTCAAGTATTTGTAAATTACTTGAAAAAATTACTGTCACCAGAATAACCAAATGCCTGCAAAATAACTCTTTAATATACAGATACCAATATGGCTTTCTGAAAGGTCGCAGCACTTTAGATCAATTGATTAAGCTACAATCTATGTATGGAATCAAAGGTTCTACACTGCAATGGATACAATCCTTCCTAACAGAAAACAGCTAGTCAGTAACCAATGCCATCTCTCTCCCTCCCTGGAAGTATTATCTGGAGTCCCCCAAGGTTCCATTCTTGGCCCTCTCTTGTTTCTTCTATTCATTAATGACTTCCCCCTCTCAGTCTCCTCCAGCCCTTACCTCTTTGCAGATGATGCTCTACTTATATCCTCCATAAAGTCAACCCTAGATGAAGACCTCTTTCAATTGGACCTTCACAATATCTCAGAGTGGTGCGACACTAACCACATGGAGCTAAACATTGATAAAACTTACATTCTTTCATATATTAGAAACTCAAAAAAAAGATCTTCCACCACACTATGCAATTAAATCAAGGTTCCTTACTATTCATGACTCCCATAAGCAACTAGGCATAACTATCTCCAGCAATCTATCATGGAACTTACATGTAGGAAAACTGATTCAAAAGTGTGCAAAACTATTGGGAATCATATACCTTATAGCTAAAGATTGCAAACCCAATGTCCTGCTGAAACTCTACTGTTCAATTATTCAGCCCCACATTGATTACTGTACTCCAGTTTGGTTCTCATTTAATGAGACTTACAGCTCTAAAATCGAAAGAATTCAAAGGAAAGCCACTAGAATGATCCTGAAAATGAGTAAAAGAACTGCCCCCCCATACCCCGTTTGTCTGCAAACATTAAATCTCAAGTCCATCCAAAACCATCTTAAATATCTTTTATTAACCTTAACCATTAACCCATTGCATTAATAATCTCCATTCCTCAGAACCCAACCACTCTGTTCTGGGCCACTCAACCATCAACAACAGAAACCTTGAAACACTCAACTTCAAACGAATGTCTAGTAGGACCGATATTAGAGCTAATTCTTATTACCCAGGCCTTATAAGACTATGGAGTGAACTACCAAACAAAATTTAAAATTCAGTTGTTGAAACAGTCCCAAATATTGCAAAAAAACTCTTAAAAGAGCATTTCCTCCAGGAATCCTTCCTAACTCATTCCCGATATGCTCGGGACGAACATAATTTGTCCCCAACCACTAGTGTCCCCCATTTTCATTTTCCCGACTTACTATGCTCTCTCCCTCCATACCCATAACCCTATATAGTCTGTTTCTCTCGCCTCTTCCCTGTCTTTGCTCCTGTGTTTTGTTATTTATTTCCTAGTTCTGCCTTATTTTTTTTTGTAATGCTTTGTTCCTTATGTATTCCCTTCCATGTTTCCTGGCTGTCATAGTGTCCACCGCTTTACTTGCCAAAATAAACTGAAACTGATACTGGTTAAAGGTGTAGATTTCAAACAGAAATGGAGATAAAACACAACACTCATTACTTGTCATAACACATTTTCAAGGTGATTTAAATGTCTGTTGCTATCCTGGAAAAGTTGGAAGATTCACAAATGATTCATGGAACTCCAATCAACATTTGGCAATAAATTAAATAGTTATAAAAACATAGAATTATTTTTTTTTATGGGAGCAAAAGCTCACCTTAAAGGTGGTGGGGGGGGTGATGAGAGAATCTATGGACTAACAGCTACAAAAAAAATTACATCTGCTATTAAAATAGAGAACAAGCACACGACTTCAACAAAATGGTAAAATAAATCAGATAGTTATGGAAATACTAAATGATGCCTCATCAAATGGGGGGAGCAAAAATTGGGGCAAATTCAGGAATAATGAAACAGATGGTCATCCTAAGTCCATTATAGTTTGATGGATTTCAGCCAAATCATGTTAGCACGTATAGTTACCTTAATTTCGGCCTTGAACATGGAATAAATCATTCTCAAATGTACAATGCTGTTCCAGAATAATTACACCAGCAGCGTAATTGAGACCACATTTTGCATTCGCCACAACAAAGACGCTCGTCATCACGTAGGCCTAGTTAGTCTAGGCCGATGGCAGCTTTATATTTTTAGATGAGACTTGCGACTGAGGCCAACGTAGAGGCGCATCCTGGTCTAAGCATAATCTCAGGCACAGGCCCATCATAGGCTTATTCTACCGTCATCTTCGCTAGAGAACTAAGTCTTCACCAATACTTACCCATCGGAAAAGCTTCTGACCTAATATGAAAGGAGTTCTCCACTGCATCTTAGGAACTCTAATCCCAGCACGATTAGATAAAATTCCGACACAACAGTTGAGCAACGGCCTAGCAACAGAACAGCTGATGCCTGATACGTGGGTTAGACACAGGGGGCTGAGCTATGCCCATGACCGAACCCTCTGTGCTTCTGATTCCTGCTTCGTGGTTGCCCCTCGCTACTCCTTCCGCTGATGCAATCCAAGGAAAAAGAAAGCCGTTGATTCCTATTGGCCGGACACGTTTCGACTCTTTGATGGCTCACTGCGTGAATATAGCACTTGCCAAGCTCTAATGGTCAATGATCAATATCGTTTGGCATTACTCTGCGCTGTACATGATAGGCATATGATATAACATTCATTTTCAGGAGTCGGTTCTGTTCGAGTTCACAAGTTTTGGATTCAGTTTGAATTCAAGTTAATCTTCCCAGATAGATCTGAGAAGTTAGAGTTTGAGGTCATGTCCAGAGGAAATGAGCGGTGTTCAGTTTTAGAACATGTTCGTCATAGCCTCTCGCTTCAGTTCGGTTCAGTACGATGCAGGTTTTGACCCCTAAGCACAGCCTTGCGAGACTACCCAAGGTCATTTTGATGCGCTATGTCACGGCTGATAAAACGCGTTGTTACAGCCCTGAAGGGACAACCCATTCATGCTATCCTCGGATAATGTGGAGAACCAGGAACAACTCCTTTTTTTTTACGGATTCAGCTTGGGTTCGATGAAGCTATACATACTTCCAGTAGGTTCCGAAATTTTCCTGTCTGGTTATGTTCGGCTAGGATTCAAAGGAAATTTCTGGCGATATCAAATTGAGCGTACGGATACCTTGGCGAGCTATGGTCTACCTATCTACCGGTCCCTGGGCTTATCTTGCCTTTATTTTATCTTATCTAGCTTCTTTTTTAAATATGATTCTCGGCAATCAACCGTGTGGAAAGTAAAATATTATTACGTGGGTTCGTGCATCACACAGTACATCTCGGTCAAAATCTATATCTTTCAATGGTATAATCACTGTTCACACGCTCACGAAGGAATGCAATGACGACATTGATAAACACCTTCGGAGAATCGATTCTTCTTTGTTTCCTCATCCGTGAGATTTTTCATGTAGGAAAAATATATTCAACTCCAGTTCTCTTTATTCCATTTGAGTTCTAGACCTTTCCTATTGACTCCGACAACGATGCATGGGATAACTCACAAACGAGTGTCATCGCCGATTACGGTCTTCAACTGGAATGCGACAAGGATTGAAAGAACATTGCCATGGAGGACTCGATTCAGCTGCGGAACGGGAAACAAAAAATCGAGTCATCAAAGTTGTCTTTCGACGACGTCACTGCAGATCACCCGTTGAAATAGTGTCTAGCGCTGTCGGCGGAGGTTTCGAAACGATGAGATTCATGATGCAGCTGAGCACAGCCCACACTTCTGTAGCAAAATGGAATTAGAATAACAAAGCAACCAGTGAGCACCAAACGGGCACGGCTATGCGCGATGGTGGTGAGGTATGAGGCAAACGTTGACACTGACTCTGTTGCTATGCTGATCCACGTGACCTCCGTTATTTATATCTCCTCACTTGGCACAGTGCTTCAAGAGCACGTTTATCTTATCATCACTATCCCATTCGCGCGCAGGCAGCGTCCAGCGGAGTGCGTTTGTGAGGCAGGTTGTTGACATTTGTTGCAGGTCAGGGTTTTCCTCATGCCTGGGTTTTCAATGCAATCGAAATGCCAAGGTTCGATTTAGAGAATCGCAGGTTTATTGAGCAGTAGTAGACGTCGATGTCTTAGCGCACGGTGACGCACTTGGACTGATTGTGCAACGGCATCGCGGAAAGTATTGCAGATAATTTTTTAAAATTATTTTCCGCTATATGATAACTACGAATTTCATAAGTACTCGTTCCATCTCAATCTACCAAAAGGAGGAACACCTTCGATTCTTTTAACTTGTTTGGTAATAATTTTTTTTAGCAAAAGTAGTCGCTGAGAATTTTAGCAACTACGCCTAAAACACCATTCCAAAAATAAATATTAAAAAAAGCGGTGGAGAGGTAGTGGATCACTTCCATCTTTCTTCGATCGCCCTATTGAAACTCCTACATGAGTCGTCATATATCCTATATCAAGGGAAACGAAGAGACTATAAGGAAATCGTCGTGATCGGTGCCAGCGCAGAATTTCTAGATATGAACGAGGAAAGAGAGTGCAATATCCACTCGAGTTCGGGAAGAGCGCTCAGTTTTTCTTGGAATAGTATATTAAGAACAGGCGTATAATTTTATTATTATCCTGGGCGGAGATTCATAAAAGAGAGGTATCTTGAAAGTCTCAATTGGAAAAGTTATGAATGCAACTCTATGGTTTTATTTCAAAAGGAGGCCAATTAATGTCTGAATATGACTTTATACCCGGAAAGTAGTGATTCAAGCAATGAAAATAAGCTCTCTGAATATTGACAATTTTTGGCAAAATGTGACACTTTTCAATATTTAGTATAATAGAGAACGGTATTTTGCACACAAAAAAAAGGGTTTTACACATGTTAGGACTGGAGGAAATTTTTCTGGAATAACAACGGTTCTTCCCTCCGTTGATTTAATCTCTCATATGATTGTATTCCCCTTGGACATTTACTCACTCTTGGGTGACACTAGGCAATTAATCGTCCAACAGCGATCTCCTGTTAGAAGTAGGTACCCAGTCCAGGTTCACTTGCTCTTCATTAGGCCGTTTTTTGCTGTCCTGTACTTTCATCTGCTCCCAGATCCACATGAAAAAAAAACAACAACATTTTTATCTTCTGTTTACTCTCAGCAATATTATCATCACGCTCCTTTGCGTGGCCTTCGACTTCTTCCCGATCTTCGTCAACGCCAAGCCTCCACTCTGTCATGGCAGGAACAAAGAGATTCAGGCACTTATCTTAAGGCACATTGGCATGCTGCTCTTCATAACCGAGTTTATCTTCCTAAAAGGCACTTCGTGTTGCTCTTACCATTTCGTAGCTGAAGTCATCGATAATTTAGAAAAGTTGTCCGGGGTACGCATACCCTTTCGTTTTTTTTGCGAGAAGCTTTCAAGCGAAATGGGGAATAAGTCAATATCACCATTGGCAACGTGACATACTGAGTACTAGGTATGGACAGATACCGTCGTGGCCGATCCATCTGCGCACGCCTCATCTACCCGCTTCACCAGATCCGAAAGAGGGTGGCCACCGGTCCTTCTTCCTCTCCCTCCAGACTTGGTACTCGACGAATAAGCTACTGATATTTTCAGACCGGTCACTGAAGTTGGTTTCCAAGCAAAGACCGCGCTATGTCCGCCTCACAATTCTCCGACGTGAAGAAATGAAGGTGTCTCCTTAATGTGGGAAAGGAAAGTTCTTTCAACCACGGCAGAATGAAAGGAGAAGCATGTGCGGCTCTTCATTTTTCCCTTGTTCTCCCCACGACCATTTTCCATGCTTTTTTTTTGGCATCTCCCGCAAAGAGGGAAAACTTAAGTAATTCTGTTTCTCGCTCCCTGGTTTTGTAATTAGATTTCTGTTCCTGTTCCTGCATATTTTCCCCTTTTATTGGCTCTCTCAATCGATACAGGGATGTGCTCCTGACGAGTTCCGGTCCCGCTGCTGTTTGCACCCGACCTGTCCGGTAGAGCGTGAGGGACAATGGAGAGAAATACAACTCTCGAGACACGCTGGCCTTCCCCCCCTTCTTTTTTTTTTTTTACTTCCCACCCGATGTAGTTCATTCTTTTTTTTTAAGTATTAACCGGTTACTTCCTGTTCCACGAGACATAAGACAAGAATGCATTCTTAGCGTTTCATCTGGGCTCAAGGACTCGTCTTGAATAGGATATTCCATTATCCTTCAGCACATGTCATTTCAAGTACGAAAACACATAGCTTTCAGGGGCAACTTCATTCACTTCCTGGAAGTTTTCTCTTGGAGAGAATTTTGCATCTCAATTCGAGTTTTCTTGAACTTCGGAGGACCATAAGGCAACCAGCTTGTTTCTGTAGGTTACTGATCAATGAATTAACCGGAAATTAGAATCCCTACTCCAGATCAACTCCCAGATCGGTCGATCATTCAGTAACACGGTTAACCTCTGGGACCCCCAGAGAGAGAGAGAGAGAGAGGAAGAGGGACTAGTAGAGTAGCCTGATCTCTGCGAAGACGGGAGGCAGGGGGCATGCTCGGATCGGTGAATCGTCCATGTGGGTAATGGGGTATCCCAACGGAATGCACGACTTTTCTACGTATTCATCCTTCACACAAGCGCAGTCGTTACTTACTGACAGGAAGGACGACGTTTCGTCTGCATACAATTGCTTGGATTAGGTTTTGATCCACAACACAACGACTTCAATTTCATCGTTAATGTCAAGCTGATGAGAGCCAAAGCAGTGAATCGAAGTAAAGTCTGTTCCCTATGTTGAATATACGTTACTATGAAAAACTCAAAATTGATTCCAGGAAGAATTAATTTTTCCTTCATTGGATACATTCGTGTCGCCATCGCTGCAGTACTAATTCAATGTTCATTAAATACCTTAAGGCAGTTAAATAAGATTCCCACGATCGAAGCGAGAAAGCGCCAATATCGCCAAATTTGCCTTTGGAATGAGTTGCCCCTTAGTTTTCATAACGGTACCCGACCTTAACCCAGCGATAGAAAGTAGACGCGAAAGAAGTTCAGAAGCAGGGGAGGGGTCCGAGTCCAGCTGGAACCTCTTCCACATCCCCACCTTTGCTAGCAGTCTTCATTTCTTCCATCTGAATTCCAGTTTAAATAATTTGTCATCACTCCTCTACGGATTTTAGGAAACAACAAACAATAACAAACTAGCAATAATCCATCTTCCGTAAGCAGTTGTGGCTTTGAAAATGGGAGCGAAATTCATCAAATTAGAAATGTGGGAGGGCCAAAGGCCGAAAGCAAAATTAACTCTTCAGGTGTGATGGGTAGAATTTCATTGTCATTTTCGTTCCTGAAATTGAAAAAAAAATCCCAAACCTCCTTTTACTCACATTGAACCTTTCGGCGTCCAGTGGTGCGCGTACCGCAATTTGGGAACCGCTGGTATGGAGGCTACTGTGGAACTCGTCAGTCTGATGATTCTTCCTCGATCTCGTGGGATGGTTCCATCTTCGTCGAGGGGGAACATTCGCGGATTTCCCGAGATTAGGGTCGTCTTAGCGATCGATAATCGGTGTATCCAAATTTCACAAGGAAGGTGGAGCTTTCATTATTATTTTGGCGAAACTTCAATGTATTCTTAAAGTGTCCTATTCGAGACTTCAAAGTTTGAGAAACGATGTACCCAACTCCGCCCCAGCAATGATCGTTACTGCAAAAAATTAACTCGTCATCGTTTAGTTCCATCATCTCGTTCCGTTCCAAAAAAAAGCAATTAGTTATTATTACCAGTTACTATTTTTAAAAAAGTGACTCTCCTTACTCGTTATCCATTCGGCACGACAACGTCGTATTGTTGAGCGAGGATTGATTTTTAGACGTAGCAATGTTACCACAATGTTGCGTTGAAGGTTGATTCAATGTAACAAAAAAGTTGAAATGAAAGTTGAAAGTACCTCAAGTGTCATGTTGTGTCAGCATTGAAATGTCAACATCTTGACATTGCCACCTCCTTTTCCTTATATTGAAGATATGCTGATATGATAATGACCTCGTATTGTAGGAATCTTCTCTTTTACCGTTGTGAACCTTGAAGTACTTTAATGAATTCTTGTATGATACGTTTGGCTGTCTTGCGAAGGAGTTATGGTGCCATCACATATGGCAACATCACAAAGTTTGCTTTATTCCTGGGAAAAGAATTGGAAAATGGAAAAAGAAATGGGAAAAGAAGAAAAACCAGGTACACCCTTGCAAATAGATTAAGGCACTCCTTCATCTCCATAGAGCTGTGGGAACGCAGGTCAGTAAACTCGAAGTGGAATGTTTCAGCATGTTTTCTCGCACCCCCGGGCCAGAAGTACCTGGAGTCTCGTTCCGCTGGATTACCTCCTTAGCCCTTTCGTGGACAAATTTCCCCCTATGTGTAGCCTTCCCATAGGGCGGGGGGAATCGAACATTTTCTGAGAAGTATACTATCCACGAAAGGGTTAAACGGGTCATTCCAAGAATTCCAAAGTTTTCCCTTATTTTGTGCCCGGGAAAAATCGGTTACTGTTTACAAAGTACAGGGGACTTATTCCGGTGGCATCAGAATGAGAATCGCTATATCAGCGGTTAGACGCCATCTCGCGTCCGTTGATAGAACTTATTATATGTTGAGACAAGAGAATAACTCCATGTTAAAATAACATTGAAGATACGTTAAAGCAAATGAGCAGAGCGAATTTGCGCTTAATACTCTCCAAACGACTTCACTCACTCATGAGCAGTCATCATATGCTGAAATTCGGTTAATTACGATTAGCCAGCATTTTACTTGTTGTTTCTTCGCTAAATTATCAACTTCAACCATGTCTCAAATTTTCAACATTTTTCCAGTATTGACAAAACGTTGTTGTGCCGAATGGGTACTGTTACTCGTTACTTTGAAACAGAGCCGGATTAAGCATCAGGCGACCATTTGCAGAATGTATGCCGTTCTCCTTGCACCCACATCACTTTCATTTGCCTCTCAATACGATATTGTGCGCCGTATGAGGGGGGAGGGCTGCTGAACAAAGGGCCGAGGGGGTGCTGGACGCTCAGTGGTTGCATCAGTTTAAAGAAAACAATCGCAATTGGGAGACATGTATATAGTTATACATCGACTGCGAACAATTCCATGGGTTAGCTGTAAGGCCAGTCGCACACTGGTGAAACGTTCTCGTGAAGCGTACATCATACATGTAAGTTACATACTTCTTTGGATAGAAAGCATAGCAAATGCCACACACTGGTGAAGCATGCTTCAAATCTTTGTGTTCCATAAAATGAAGGGTGTTTGATACACGCTTCACGAGAATGTTTCACCCGAGTGCGGCAGGAGTTATGGTAATGCTGCATCTTTTTGCATGGAATTCGGAACGCATTATTTACTTTCTCTTTGGGGAAAAATAAATGCATTACTGATTTTCGTAAACTGCTTTGGTAACGTCTTCACTGCACAGCTGCGCAAGGAAGACGTTACCAAAGACAGTTTACCAAACTTACAAACGTTACAGATGTTACCCAAGCTCCGGTCATAGTTGTCTTGACAGAGTCGAGAGAAACAGCGAATCACGACCCATATAAATGAAGAAGTTTCACCTCTCTTGAGATCAGTGGCGTAGCGAGGGGGGGGGGGGGCTGGGGGGGGGTTCGGCCCCCCCCCCCCCCCCCCC